GGTTTTTCTTCATGTATAAAGCGAAACTATTAATGTAATACTTAATAAATAAGCAAAATCAAAAGTCATTAATGAAAAACATAACTTAACAATAAAAAAACCCTGACAGTTAAAATCTACTATTATTTAACTTTATTAGGTCAATACGAAGTAGATAATCACAAATGCTCAATCGATAACGTCATACTCAATAGATAACACTCGTAAATGTAAAATATAGTATAAAAAACCATTGTTCACAGTTAAAATCAAGTATTATTCAAGTTAAATCGTTCAATAATTGATTCAATTTCGAAAACAGATAACCAAATGTAAAATATGAGTGTAAATTTCAAGTGCGATTGTTCTAAGTTAAAATAAAAAATCATGTAATGCACCTTTGTTACATTGAGTTGAAGTAGTTGTTGTTACGAACTCCATTATTGAAGATATTGTTGATTTTATCAAGTTTTTGTTGTTCAATTCAGCAACTATTGAAGGAGTTTTAGGGTTTTTTCTTCGATTCGATGGTTTTCGGTAGAGAAAAAGGTAGATAGAGAAGTTTATCGGGAACGAGGATTAAGGGATATGAGAGAGAATTAAGGGTGATGTGATGATTGAATCGGTTTTATTTCATTGTACAAAATTACCCCGGGTGTTTTTAAAATTTTGAGCTTTGCATCAAATGTTTATATATATAATAAAAACATTACTTTTATGTTATTATTCTGTAATGAAGTTTGTATACATAGTTTTATATCATTATTCAGTAATGAATAAATGAATTCCCACTGGTTAAAACTAAAATTAGAATTTACCACAAAAATATACATACATAAATTTATAATAAAATAATAACATTCTTATGAATATATGAATAATCAAACGTTAATATTCATATCAGAATTACTTAAACAATCCTCATATATAACATTCATTGTAGAATAATAGCATAAATATAATGTTTTTACATTTTCAGACTATTTACTATTTTTATTTAAACTTATATATATATATATATATATATATATATATATATATATATACTTATAAAGGAAGCATTTTTCCTTTCACCACATTCATTTGAAACTCTCATGACTTTTCAATTCTTTCTAATAATAATTATAGGTTGGTTAATAAGGTTAAATACATATCAAACCTAAAGTGTAATCATATATAAACTAAATTTCAATATTAAAACAATATATTTACTTCTACTTATAAAGTTATGTTTTTTAACTTTTAACATATTATACTTAATTTATTATTTTTAATATAGTATTGCATGTAAACCATTGTCATTTTAAAGACACAATTTTGAAACAATTTGTATAAAATACTTAAATTATCAATTTAAATATAACATTATAGGGTCAACTTAAATATAAATTTTAGTTAACTTAAACAATCCAAAAAATATTTTTTTAAATAGTTAAAAGTGATAAATTGTAGTGTCTTTTTAATAAAGATTACAAGTTTGTTAATAAAGTTAAATAAATATCAAACCTAAAGTGTAATTGTAAATAAACTAAATTTCAATTTTAAAATAATATCCTTACTTTTACTTATAAAGTTATGTCTTTAACTTTTAACATATTATACATAATTTATTAGATTTAAAATGTTGTTGTATATAAACCATTATCATTTTAAAGCTACAACTTTTGAACAGTTTGGAGAAAATACTTAAATTATTAATCTAAATATAATATCACAGTATCAACTAAAATATAAATTTCAGTTCCACTTAAAAAACCAAAGAATATTTTGTAAATAGTTAAAAGTGATAAATTGTAGTGATAAATGCAAAAACTAAATTGTAATCTCAATTTAACTAAAATGTTTCCTTAAGATATTTTTATAATCGTTAAGTTTTCAAATATGTAGCTTTAAATAACTTACAATAACAATAGTTACAAATAACTCTATATAAATGATTCTATTGTTATCTTTAAATTAAAAAAACAGTGTTTGATATTTTAAAAAATTATAATGATAGAAATTAAAACATTAAGCAAATAAATTTTAAAAAATTAATTAACAATAACAACAACTGTCAATAACATTAAACCATATATTATATTTAATTTTATTCATGTGTAACTCATGGGTAGAAGTCATTCAAACGATTGACTAAACTAAATTATTAAAATCTCATATTGTATTTCTATTTATAAAATTATGACTTTAACTTTTTAACATATTATAGTTAACTTATTAGTTGAAATATGTTGTCGTATGTGAGCAAGTATCATTTTAAGGTCATAACATTTGTATAATTTATGAGTTGATGCAAATTAGTTAAATTATTAATTTTAGAGTAAATTACACGAATGGTCCCTATGGTTTAGGGTAATTTGCGTGTTTGGTCCCTAACTTATTTTTGTAATTCGGAACGTCCCTACTGCTTGTTTTTCTTACATGCTTGGTCCTTGTCTTAACTAAAAGACTATTTTGCGCTTGATTTTTTAATTTATTTAAATAAACACACCCCAACCCCACCCCCTCACCTTACCTTACCTAGCCCACCATTTTTCCCTATTTAAATAATAGTATTTTTAGGTAAGAGAGGGACCAAACGAGTAACAAAAACAAACAGTAGGGATCAGGCGCGTAACAAAAACAAATAGTAGGGGCCTTCCAAGTTAAAAAAATAAGTTAGGGACCAAGCGCGCAAATTACCCCAAACCATAGGGACCATTCGTGTAAATTACTCTTAATTTTAATATAATATTAAATAGTTAACTTAAATCAAAATTTCAGTTAAACTTGAAAAAAATTGAGAGACTGTTTTATAAATAGTTAAAGATTATCAATTATAGTGTTAAACCTAAATTGTAGTCCTAAATCATGACACTATTTTTTATAATCATTAACAATTTTAAAATAAATAGCTGTAAAATAGCTTATAATAAGAATAGTTAAAAGTAATGTTATATAAAAAATTATAATATTTTCTTTAAAAACAAAAACAATGTTTTTTGTTTTAAATAACTACAATCATAGAAACTAACAATATTCATCAAATAAATTTAAAAACGTTAAATTTTTAAACCAAATTAAAATAATTGATAGTTTCGATATACGTTATTTTAAATAATTGACAACAACAATTGTTAAAAGTAAAATTATATACAAAAATTATATTGTTGTCTTTAAAAACAAAAACAATATTTGATGTTTTAAATAATTACAATGAAAGAAATTAAAATCATAAACAAATAAACTTTTTAAAATTAATTATTCATAACAACAACTATAAATATCATTAAATCATATATTATATTTAATTTTATTCATAAGTAACCTGCAGGTAGACGTCATTAAGACACTTAGGATTATACAATTTTAAAAGATATCTACATTATCATATAATTCGAGACAAACAATGTTTATACAAACTTATTATAAAATTTCTTATATAAAAGCTAATAACAATGTCATTGATTATTTAAAAAACATATATTTGTAAAAATTTCAAATATATTATTATATTATGCGCAATGCGTGGGTATTCGCCTAGTATATATATATATATAAAACATTTTTTCTATCACCAAATTTATTTGAAACTCCCATGACTTTTCAATTTCTTTCTAACAATGATTATAAGTTGGTTAGTAAGGTTAAATAAATATCTAACCTAAAGTGTAATCATATATAACCTAAAGTTATGTCTTTAACTTTTAACATATTATACTTAATTTATTAGTTTTAAAATGTTGTTGTATGTAAATTATTATCATTTTAAAGCTACAATTTTTGAACAGTTTGGATAAAATACTTAAATTGTTAATTTAAATATAATATTACAGGGCCAACTTAAATATAAATTGTAGTTCAACTTAAACAACTCAAAGAATATTTTGTAAATAATTAAAAATGATAAATTGTAGTGTCTTTCTATTAATGATTATAAATTGGTTAATAAGGTTAAATAAATATCAAACCTAAAATGTAATCATAAATAAACTTAATTTCAATATTAAAATAATATTTTTATTTCTACTTATAAAGTTATGTCTTTAATTTTTAACATATTATATTTAATTTATTAGATTTAATATGTTGTTGTATGTAAACCATTATCATTTTAAAGCAACAACTTTTGAACAATTTGGATAAAATACTTAAATTGTTAATTTAAATATAACATTACATTGTCAACTTAAATATAAATTTCAGTTACACTTAAAAAAACTTACAGAATATTTTGTGAATAGTTAAAAATGATAAAGTATAGTGCTAAATGCAAAAACTAAATTGTAATCTCAATTTAACTAAAATATTTGCTAAAGATTTTTTTATAATCATTAAAAAATTTCAAATAAGTAGTTTAAAATAACTTACAATAACAATAGTTAAAAATAACTATATATAAATGATTATATTGTTACATTTACAAACAAAAAACAATGTTTGATGTTCTAAATAATTACAATGATAGAAACTAAAATGTTAAGCTAATAAATTTAAAAAAAATTAATTAACAATAACAAAAACTATATAACATTAAACCATATATATATATATTTTTTTCATTCATGACTAACCCGCGGGTAGAGATAATTCAAACGATTGAAATTATGCAGTTTTAATAGATGCGTATATTATCATATAATTCAAAATAATCAATATATTATATCAACTTAGTATACGGATTATTATATGAAATTTAACAACATTATTTTTATATTTAAAAAAAAACATATGTTTGTAAAGTTTTCAACTATATAGATATCTCTGTGCAACGCGCGAACATTCGCGTAATATATATATATATATATATATATATATATATATATATATATATATATATATATATATATATATATATATAAAGTTTTCAACGCCGGTGAATCCGTCTTCCAAATCAGTACGCATATTCCAATTTTTGGTGAAGATATTATCCGATTTCAACGTTGAATGCGATTCTAGTAAAGCTGATTCGGTAGTTGAGTATAAAAATCGTTGATTGTTCAACATAGCACATAATGAGGAATCTTCGATCAAACTCAAAAATGAAGGGTAGCAAGTTCAACAACACCTTTGAAGAAGCCATTAACCTTGATGATGACGATTTCATGAACATTCATTCAGGTATTGCTCATTGATGTTCAACTACAACTGTATAATAGTTTAGGTTTTGAATACGACGACTGTTTATGAAGTTTTTTAAATACAAATATAATATGTGTAAAATAATTTCTGTTAAGAATGTAGATACATAATGTTTGTAGTTACTTTCCGTGTTGAAGACGACGATTGACGTATTCCAATTTTTTGTTGATTTTTTTTATGGTTTTGTTGAAGACGACGACTGTTATACTTGTGTGTTTGATTTTTTTTGTCTATTTAATAAACATATTATAATCGTAATACAGTTAAGAATGTTGTTCTGGTTGTATCATGGAATCTAATTAGAAGAATGACTATTTTTCCAAGGGTTTTATATAATACATAACAGGTAGTCTAATTTATTAACAATTTTTCATTGTCATGTTTTGTAGGAGGTTCTAGTGTGGTGATGCTTAGTAGGGAACCATTAGCAAAAAAGAAGGTGAAATGTCATTTTGAAAAAGGTACTTCTTCTGTTAGTCATATTGTGTTAGATTTGTATGTGTTTGACTGCATGATGTTGTTTGGTTTTTTATGTGTGGAATATTATATGATTAGCCACGTGTTTTCAATATTGAACACATTGTATAATACTTTAATATAAAGTATATATTAGTACTAAGATGTTTTGATCTAAATATACATTATGTGTGATAGTATGCAATGCTTCCACATGTATTCAATATTGAAAAAAATTTGATATTGAATACATCATGTAAGAATTGGATATAGCGTATATGTCTTGGATTAATTATTCTGCACTTAATTTTTATTATCAGTGTAATTGTTTGTTGTAATGTGTTTTGGTTTAATGTATTATTTCAAAATATAATTTAATATTTTAATTTAGTATTCTATGAAGAATAGAGTACTAATGTAATGATTCAATACAGAATACACAGTATGTGTGATTCAATGTATATGGCGGTGAAGGGAATGTCATACAGTCAGAAAGAATTGGTGAGACGAATGGGTTTCGGTGCGTTCCTTGATATAAAGTTAGATTCAATACCTTCTAGATTGGCTTACTACTTGGTGGACAAATTCAGAGCAAAAACATCGGCGATTAAGACTAAGAAAGGGGAAATACTTATTACAAAGAAAACGGTTGAAGAGATGTTTGGTTTGCCAAGTGAAGGTTTAGACTACAACCAGTTGGTAGAATACAATAAAACAGATACAGTTATTGAAGCATGGAAAAGTCAATATCCTGGAGGAAAGTTCAATAATGGAAACTATGTGAAGAGGATTAGACAATCGGATGTGGCGGATGACATGTTCAAGCTTAATTTCCTGACATTATTCATAAACACATTTGCAGAGACAGAGATGAGTGGGGCAAGCCGTATTAATTGTCTGGAAAAATTAGCAAGGTGTGAAGATATTCAAAAGATTGATTGGTGCAAGTATATAGTTGAATGTTTGGAGAAGGCAAAATACAAATAGAGGCCAAATGACGCAAACTGTTATTATACAGGTCCAGTCACTCTCTTACTGGTAAGTAGTTATAATTATGTGCATTTAGTTATATATTATTTTTTAATTCTTTAATGAAAATAAGTAAATATAACTTGTTAATTATGTTGTTACAGCATACGAATGCGGACAAAGTAGTTTTGAATGGATATAATCTCCACAGATCAAGGCCATTGATAAAACAGATTGACTCAGTTGATTTGGAAATGTTGGAGGAACATGGATTGAGAATGGGAAATTTTGGAACATTGGTTTGGTTTTAATAACAATGACAGGTAGGGGTGGAATCAATTGAAATGCTATATTGTAGGATCTGTGATGATAAGAAAAAAATTGAGGAAGCAATTAAGAAGGGGTTAGAAGATGATGCAAACAATGATGTGGTAAAAGAGTGGTCAATAAAGGTGCGCCAACTTTTTAATGAAAAGACAGTGGAACATGGAGATAATAGCTCGCCCACAAATGAAGCGACAATGAAAACGCCCATTAAAGTTGCAGTCAATTCTGAGCAAAATAATTTTGTGAAAGGATGTAGTTTTGTGAAAGGAAGTAGTCTGATATGCAATGTTCAGTCTACTGGAAGGAATAACGAGAAGACAAAGGTTGTGGATGGGTGCGACTCACCTTCCGTACTCTTTCTGGAATATAAAGGAAATACATCATTGGATAGTCTAGTAGTTCTGACTCCTGGTTTTTTGAATATGTCTGATGAATTGTGGAAAGGAGCATGAGAAAGAAAAAGGATTTTTGCAAAGATGGCATACCATCATTCGATTTGAGAATAACACAATTGAATGAGGAAGAGAAAAATATGGATGATAAAGAAGGAAGTAAGGCAGTAATTGAATATACAAAAAAATCTGTAGCGGAAGACAAACTGAAGAAAATAACTGTAAAAGATATTATGGAAAGTGAAATGGTGCATGTTGTTGATTTCAAAAATGGGAAAGGTAAAAGGAAGGGGAAACTTGGACAATTGGTGTGTTCACCATATGTAGATCAGATTACGGATGTGGATGAGGCGGTTAAAGATGATGAAAACGTTGTGGCTCAAAGCATAATAGCATGGGGGAAGATAAAGGGTAAGAAAGTACATTTTATGTGACTAAATGAGAAAGGAATTTTTTTTTGTGCTGTGACATTTTTACTGTATTTTGTTTAAATGGCAGGGAAATTATATGGGAGACTATTGAAGGTCATGGAATGCATTTGGAAGCTGCACATACGTTAGCTGTAAGAACAAAAGTGCATACCAATGTAATAGACGCATGGGCTGCTTTCCTTAATAAAACTGAGGAACTGAGGTCAGAGGCTTCTTACTCTAGGATGTACTTCACATGCGATACAATTGTAAGTTTTTAATAATAATATGTGTGTTATATGTGATATTCAGCTATGAATTGTAATATGGTCGGTGTTTTGTTATGATAAAACAGACATATTACATGGTTAATGAAGCTGTAGAGGAGGAGCCGAGGTACAATAAATTCAGAATTATGTTTGTAGTTGTGATTAATGACATAGCGGACAAACCAGATTTGAAAACGGTGGACTTGGTATGGATTTTTTACATTTTACAGTATTTAAACATGATTGCTATCACACATTACTGATGTTGAAATTGTTTAGATGTAGGTTTTCATACCATTGTTGTTGATGACAGTTACTACCTAGTGTGTTTTTGCTTGAAAAGGGTTGCATTTTATATATTTGATCACATCAAGAGGTCGGGGACAATTGAGTCTGCATATGGGAATAGACCACGTATCCTGGTTAGATTTGTTGTTTACTTAATCAAATCATATATATATTGTCATTATTGTTGTTATATATTTTATATAATATGAATTGTTATTTAATTTAACATGCAGCAAAGTTTCTTTTGTTGTTATCTGAATAGTGTTGAACACAAAAAAGCAAATGTGTTACTTAAAAAGGAAGCTGCGGTTTTAAAAATGAAGTGTCAAAGGAAACTAATTGGTGTTGACTGTGGAATTTTCCTTATGCCACACATGGAGACATACATGGGAGAAGCGGCAAGTAAATGGGATTGTGGTCTATGTGTTGATAATAAAATTCAAGAAAAGATGTTAGGACGGTTAAGGTATACGTATCTGGATAAGTTGATGATGTCGGATTTTAATGTTATGAAGCAAACATTCGTGAATCATTATGCAGTTGTCAAAAAAATGGTTAGGTTTGAAAGGATGAAGCTGATTGAAGAAAAGAAGAAGGAAATCACATGTGTATTGCAGTAGATTGATTTGTGAAGAAGATGGTGTTTTTTTATTAGGTTTTTTAGTATTATAAAAAGCGATGATCGTTCATGAACTTTGAAGTGTTTTGTTATGTTGGTTTTTTGGATTATGGTAATTTTGTTAGGATTATTATGTGTTGGACGTATTCTAAGTGAAACTATGTGATGGATTTATTTAATGTGTGAAAAAATGGTTATTATTAGTAATGTGAACCTGAATTTTTCTTATATTCCATATGTAATATATGTCATATGATACTTATCAAAGGTCACACATTTATAAGAAATATGAGTCATATAATTTCTAAATTTATGGGTTTTTGGTGCATACTGTGAATAGTATAAAACATCATGTAAATGTTTCTTAAATAACTATTAGACTAACATTTTTGTTGTATATAAGGATGTTAAAATAAAATACATTTTGTGAGTAATTTTAATTTTTTTGAAACATCAAATTCCTATTAGAGTAACATAGTTTGTAAGACTTAATTTGAATTAAATTTTTTGAATAGAGTGGCTATAAAAGCTTGCGATAGAATAATATAACACATCTTCACGTGTAAAATTCTTAATTGAATATCTAACATAATTCTAAGTTGAATTATGTATTAAGCGGTGTTATCAACAATTACATAATTCATAATAAATATTTTTTTAAGTGCATGTGATGATTATTTTCTGTATGAAAATAGAGTATTAATGTTTACTGAATTTATAAATACGTATAATGGAGATGACAATTATATATTGATTGTATTGAATATGAATTTAGTAATTAAACATATTTCTGGTTATAATCATGTAATAAATTTTGTTTCTATAAATTCTGAAATGAATAATTATAAAAAAAAAGTACTAAAGAATGTAATGGTTTGTGTATGTAAACAAGTATGTAATGAAATAGACATATCTTTTATAAGTTCATATACCGATTCTTAAATTTATGTAGTATATGTAGTTTTAAAGATGACTTTATTAATAAAATATTAACATTTATAATGTATTGATTGATGTATACGTATAATAAAGTTAGGATTGGAATGGTTAAAAAAAACAAGGAATATGTGTATAAGCTTCATAAAAAATTTCAATGAAAATTAATAAACACAATTTAAAAGTAAATTACAGATAGGCCACACAATTTATAAAAACATAATACTGAAAAGTGACAATTGACTGAAAATGTAACAATTGTTTTACCATAAAGTAAACAAACCAAACAAATTAATATGAAAAAAAGACCGATAAATAAATTAGTGCTTCTTTCCAGGATGTTGTTTAAAAATGTTGTTCTTCTCATCTTCCTTTCTTAAAGGACAATTCCGCCAGTCATGATCGTTACCCTTACGACAGTAGTTACAACGTGATTTTTCAACTGCAATTTCTTGAGCACCTTTAATCCGTTTTTTAGTGCCAGACCCTTTGTTCCTAATTCCAGTGGGGTTTTGAATTTGAACATCTGTGGGTATCGACACACCAAGTCTATTTCCAAAGTCCGTTGAATTGTTTGGGCGTTCATGCATAGTAACGTCAGCCATAAACTTGGTCTCCAATTCCTTAAGTGCTTCATAATACTCTTCAAGTCTTTTTTTTGTTGTTGCTCAAAGAAGAGAGACAATTATCAACCGTTGAAAATATGTCAATTGCTACTTTTTGAATATTCTCATCTGAATCTGAATACCGGAAACATCTTCGTAACAATTCAGGTGGAATAATATCCTTCTGCCACCGCCTTAGAAGATACTTTGCTGGTATGAATTGGATGTTGAAGGCTTTCATTGCAGTAAAAATGTGGCGACAAAGAATCCCAAGTTGTTCAAACTTCATACAACTACAAATGAATGTGTCTTCTTTCTGGTCACATTTAACCTGCATAGAAAAATAATCACATATATATATGCAAAATTTGGTGTGCAAAAAAATAAAATGATATCAGAGTTTAAAATAATACCGTATATATAGAGTCTTTTAGTAGCTTATCCCATTTATCATCATCATCATCACTTTCAATATCGGAGTGAGGTCGATTCGAGGTGGAATATCCATGTGGACTAAATTCTTTTATCTGAAACTCATGAACATGGTCAACGATGTTGTGATTTAACGAGAAACATGCTGTCATTGACCTGTACATTTCGTTTTGAACATATCTAATGTAACACCCTGAATTTAGAAGGTCGGAAAAGAGAAGAAAACCTCAAATGAGGAAGTGACTCGTCGAGTAGATGGGTGACTCGACGAGTAGGAGCGTGATTTGGTCGCGGGTTTAGTGACCTACTCGACGAGTCAGAAGACTGACTCGGCGAGTTAGCCATGTTTGGGGAAAACACTAAATGCGGGCCTTGTACCCTATTTAAGGAATGTTATAGCCTTCACCAGCCCCTTGATACTCTCTCAAGTCCAGAACGAAAATCCTAGAGCCTCCCTTGAGTTGTGAGTCATTTTGAGAGTTTTGGAGCATTATTGAAGCTTGGAGGAACAAGAAGAAGGTTGGAGGTTCAAGGAGGAAGGAGTAGATCCAGAAGATTCACTCCATTTGCTGCTCATTTTGGTAATCAAGTTCCTTCCTTGACTTCTAGTTCGTTAGATCTCTTTATGTCCCTTTTTATGAAGTTTATGGGCCAAGAATGATTTCTTGTGGGATTTGGACGTCCCCAAGCTAGATCCTTTCAGATCTGGGAGTATTTGGAGTACTTAAGACATAAAGGTGGAAGCTTTATGCCAATAGAACTCCCCATGCAAAGTTTAAGAGGTTGTTATGGCCTTTTGAGCAAAAAGGGCCATGCATGGACGCAAAGGTATTAGCTTTGCGTGTTATTCCGACCCTAGGAGGCTAGATCTGGGTCTTGGATGCCTTGTGCTTGACTGAAATCGTCTGAATAGAGTTGGACATAGAGGGACTCAGCGAGTCACTTGTAGGACTCGGCGAGTCAGGCCGGTTATTGTCCCAAAACCCTTCTGTTAAAGGGTATGAGTTGAATGGTTAGGGACTCAGCCAATCTGAGTCCATAGTGGTCATGAAGTTCATCGTACTCGACGAGTTCAAGGAAGAACTCGGCGAGTCTAAGGCAATCTCCTTAGTTCATGAAGATGGACTCGACGAGTTGTTCATACAACTCGGCGAGTCACAGCCTAGACACATTCTTATGTGGATGATGAACTCGACGAGTTCAAGGTCGAACTCGGCGAGTCGGATGAAGATGGTCCCGATTGTATGGTTGATGGAGAACCCGTCGAGTCCTTGCTAAACTCGACGAGTGAAGTCGGGGTTGTATGGGGTTGGAGGAGTATGGACTCGACGAGTTGGTAGACCAACTCGGCGAGTCAAGTCAACTGGAGGTTTCCTTTGATCGTTGAATTTGACCAAGTTGACCTGGGTTGACTTTTGGGATTATTGTGGTCTAAATGTTATTTTGGGTATTGATAGTTCGGGAAGCCGAAGGGTCAGCGGTTCAGGAGTTGCCGGTTAGCAGTCAGAAGTGTTCAGCGAGTTCTCAGCAGTGCGAGGTGAGTCTCCTCACTGTTTGTATGGGTGTACGGGCACAATGCTGGCCCATTTATTTTATGTATGGTAGGAAGACCCGGGGGTTAGCCCTAGGCATTATGCATGAAAGACCAGGAGGAGGCTCCTGGAACACAGTATATTATTATGTATGGTAGGAAGACCCGGGGGTTAGCCCTGGGCATTATGCATGAAAGACCAGGAGGAGGGCCTGACACACCGTATGTTATTATGTATGGTAGGAAGACCCGGGGGTTAGCCCTAGGCAACATGTATGAAAGACCAGGAGGTGACTCCTGGCACACTGTATGCTGAGTAGCCTAGTAGAGTAGTATGTATAGTTGTCTCTGTGATGCTTGCATGGAAGACCAGGGGGTGGCCCTTGGCACTTGTCTGTAAGACCCAGGGAGTGGCCCCAGGCTTGACAAAAAAGACCACGCGCGGCTCGTGGCAATACAGCAAGACTATGTTTGGCACATAGCATCTTACTTGATTATGGATATGTTTGTTATGCATGGCTCATGGTTACGTATGACATGTATAGATCAGTTGATATGTATGGTATGTGGTATCTGGGGAACTCACTAAGCCTCGTTCTTACAGTTTTCAGCTATTTGTTTCAGGTACTAATGTTTTTCCAAGGAAGGAGCTCGGGGCGATCGCAACGCATCACACCATGTTTTCTGCACTAGATGATCTTTGGGATTTAAAACTCTGATATTTGTTTATTAAGAATGTTATTAAATGATTGAGCAAGATTTATTAAGCGGTTTTTAATTAATCAAAATGAAATTTTTGGTCTTGAATTTTGGGATGTTACAAGTGTTGGATAAGATGTCTAAGTCCATAAC